AGATATCTAATCCTCCACTGGTCGTAGCACAATTTTGCTGAAGTCCTTGAGTAGTGGCGGCATGCGGTCGAGCTCGCACGATTGTATGCTTGGGACATGCCTACTACGACTGGCTCGAGCGTCTCCCGCAACGCCAGCCTAGGTCGAGCCTTTGGCAGCAGGAACGCTAAACCGCGGCTAGCTTATTCCTTGAGCGTCTCGTTTCGGCTTCCGTCCAAACCATGTCTTCCCTGCAGTCCTCTGGAGAGATGTCCTCTACACCTACTTCATATTCCATTTTAGGTTGCAGGTCCCGGAACGCGCAGAGCGTTGAGCCACGTTTGCGCCGGGTCGGCGCATCGGCGACAATCCCCTCCTTGGTTAGCTTAAATGCACCGGTGTGTTGCCGTGTAAAAATGTCCAAAAAATGGCTTACAAGTCCACTCACCAGTGTAAATGTAGTATCTGCTGATTTCTTGAGAACTTAGGCCCTGGAGTGGGGCCGCCTTTCCCTGTTCTTGTGTAGTCCGGATGCTCTGGGTCACGTAGGCTGGAATAAGCTGCTTGTCGTCGATGTCTGGACTCGATGTGATTGATGCGTCCTGGGCTTCTACGGCTGCTCGCGATCTTTCCCAACATCTCCGTCTGACGACGTATGGCACTAAGAACCTGTTCTTGCACTCCTTGTCTGCTGTGGGATGGTGACCGTCGCACAGCCTGCATTTTGGATTGCACTGGTGTAGGCTAGCTGGGCTCTTGATCTCGCAGCCTCTGCAGATGGTTTCAGCTTGGTTCGGACAGACGTCAGACTGATGCCCCAGCTTTCCACAGACGTAACAAATATCGATGTTCTTGCGGTAAAGGGAGCACTGCGAATGTGAAGGTTCATATCTCGCGAATCTGGGCACCCACCTTGTGTCCTTCGAACGCTGGGATGATTGTCCCGGTGCCCTTGATTCTCTTGGCCTGCAGCGCGAGCGGGTTGTTCGCGTTCACAATCTTTTGTGTAAAAATGTCCTGAGTATCGTTTACGGGATTCCCGTGAATCACTCCTTCACAAGTATTGTGGGGTGCCATGGCGTACGCGCTAACCTCGAAAACTTTGCCTCGAATGTCAACTTGCTTGACCTTGAGGTATCTTGAAGCTCTGTCTTGGTCCGGAGTGCTTGCCACCATAATGTTCTGCTGCAAGTTGGAACAGATGATGTCCTGCATGGCCTCCTCCTCTTTGACGCCGGCTGCCAGTACTATCGCGTCTGCCACGGCTTCAGTGCCGATTCTCAAGATATTTAATCCTCCTCGTGGTCATAGCGCAATTTTGCTGAATTCCTTGGGTAGTGGCGGCATGCGTCCAGCTCGCACGATTGTATGCTTGGTATTATACCTACTACGACTGGCTTGAGCGTCTACCGCAACGCCAGCTTTGGTTGAACCCTTGGCAGCAGGAACGCTAACCGCGGCTTGCTTATTGCTTGAGCGTCTCGTTTCGGCTTCCTTCCAACCCATGTCTTCCGTGCAATCCTCTGGAGAGATGTCCTCTCCATCTACTTGGTATTCCATTCTCAGTTGCAGGTCCTGGAACGCGCAGAGCGTTGAGTCACGTTGGCGCTGGGTTGGCGCATCGGCGACAATCGCCTCCTTTGTTGTTAGTGGCGTTGCCGTGTAAACATGTCCCAAAAACGGTTTTAAAAGTCCACTCACCAGCACAAATGTCTTATCTGCTGAATGCTTGAGAACTTAGGCACACGATGGGACTAAAAACTCGGCGAAAAACTCGTGAATACCACAGGAAAGCATTCTTGAAAGCAGGAGCCGATCTTCGCGCGTCCGCACTGGTCGGCCACTAGAGCGTCTCCACCCAGCCTCTGAGAGATGTAGAAGTAAAAAATTACTTTGACGACGTACTTTAGTGCCGTTTTCATATGCCATGTACTTACTCACCTTGCAAAAATGTCTTTGACAGTGTGTTTACTTCAAACGGGACGGCTGCCGGTAGTGTTCCTATTAATAAAGTCACCTCTTACTTATCTTTTGACAGATTTAAATTTTATTGCGATAGCAATTATATGGGCACTCTTGGCTGGATTTTTCCGCCGGCGTCGGCGTCTCCGTCATTTACTGTATATGTATACCTATTTATATATATGAAAACACAAGAAAGAAAAATAAACCTGAAAAAAAAATGGCAGCATATTCACGGGTTAATAATGGAGAGTTGCGCGAAGCATCCGTCCGTCCATTCGTTCTTGCTTCCGTCCGTCCATGCGTCCATCCGCCCGTCCGTGCGTGCGTCTGTTCGTGCGTCCGCACGTTCATCTGCGCGTCCATCCGTGCGTTCGTCTATGCATCCGTTCCTGCGTCCGCCCATGCGTCCATCCGTCCGGGCAGCCATCTGTGCGTCCGTCCATGCATCTGTCCGTGTGTCCGTTCGTCCATCTAGTCAACACTCCAAGTACCACTATCTCGCATCTTTTCATCATATATTCTGCATATAGAAGCACCACCATCCAGCGGACATTCCTAAGACTAAACGAGACGTGGCACACGCACGCTTTCTTAGGGCTCGCGCTTCGTGTCTACTGCCCACTTTTAACCACCTCGAGTTCATGGTATATACTAGTTCACTGTATTGATGGCAGTGTGGCCCAACGCTCGCTAAACCTTTTTAAAACCAAGGAGGTTACGCCCAGCGAGTATAACGTAGCAACTTTTCTTGTCAGATAATGCTCAGTGTACATGCCCAATGGCTGCTAATCGGGAACGAGAGACAGGAGAATTCGGCTTTTAGTTAACGCGCACGCTGAGATTTTTTTATTGTAAATTTTTTATTGATTTTCGTTGTATTTTACGGTCTAACCTGCAAGGCACCACCTTGCAGGTTAGAGCGTAAGACATGTTACGCACTACTTCGAGGGACGAACGGGTGCCGCTTCAAGGAGCGTTGCCCCTAAAAGAGTTCGGCGCGAGATATAGAACATTGGGGCTCTGAATTGTGAGTGCGAGGCGTTAGCCACTGAGCCACGAAGGAGCGCCTCCTTCAACGTTCAAACGGCAAACTCTTTGTATCTACCACCTACTACTGATGATGGGTATCTCTGGGACAACTATCATGTTTTCAGCATTACCAGCGAGATGGCGCAATGAGCGGACGTCGACACATCGTCAAGACGCTGTAGAGCGAGCTCTCATCCCACGTGTACTTTGCCCCGCGGAGGCAGGGTGGACGCTCACACGTGGGTTCGCTTATCTCGCGGTGAGGACAACCGTACGCCTTGGATGGCCTTGGGCTTTCACTGGAACGACGTTGTGGTAGTCACTGGGTGCCAAAGTTCACTGCAATCATCGCAGTCTCCGTTTGTGAAAAAGGCGTACTTTTCAGACGCAGCGCAGTGACAACTGAGGCGCTTATTCGCGTTCATATGTACCTCTGAGTACGTTTAGTGCGTCATTTGGCGCGAGATACGTAGGGAACGGCGCAGAATGGAAAGCAGATCGAAAGATCCGCTTTCCATTGTGCGCCTGGCCTTCCAATTTGTTGCTATCGCTCTCATTGCCTCGCCTTGTGGCAAAGCGGTGACTTTTTTTTTAGTTACGCCTTTAATGCCACCTTATCGTACTAGGGACCAATCTTGGTAGGAAGCGCACAATGTGTTCAGAGGAACACGAGACATAAATACAGCTGCTGTGAAAAGTTGTGCGCTTTCTAGCAAGATGGATTCATACCAACTTGCCCGATATAATTGTTTATTAAAGTACTAGGTACTTCATCCTCCGGAGTAATGTTTCTAAAGTGTTATGCCATGTATGCAGGCCTTTGAAGTGTAAGCAAATCTCACCCATATTCACTAGGTCCTTGTAACGAAGACAAAAAAAAAGAGCAGTTTCCGATGTGTAGCGCTGCATAGCGTTTGTTTTCACAAAACGTGTAGGCATGATTAGTAGTGAGTGAGCGGGCGCGTGTACTTAGTCTCTTCGTCTGCGCCTTCAATGATACCGAAAAGTCTCACCTATGTCGGAAAAGCCTGTACATGAACTGGGAGTCCATGAAATTAGGTGCTTCCCGTACTGTTTTTATTTTTTAGTTTTCTCAATGACTTCACTAGAAGGAACGATACTCTACTCTCTGCTTTAAAGTTCCCAGAATGCGTATTCCTCGCCACCGCTGAATCAATATCTGTACACTATAACCATTTCATGAGCCTCACGAAGGTTTCCTTTCCGAATGCTTTGTTGCTTGGTTGTCTCGCAGACTTGCCCATGATGCATAATATTTTTGGTGTACATGCATAACAGATGTTTTTTACCATGGGCTGGTATTGCGAGTGATTTCAAGTCTCGTAGAATCTGTTATGCATCTAGCTGTCGTAAATGGTCATTTCACTGTAACGAAGGCCGGCTTGCGGCAGGTGACGGGGGCTTTCCGACTGTAGCTCATAACATGTCGGTGTAAGACAGCATGCATGTGTTTGCATCACTGTAATACAGCAGTATGGACACGTAGCACCCATAGGTAAGTGAGACTAGCTCCAAGGTGAGATAAAAGCTGGTGTTAGGACCACACCTACCCGAAGCCTATATTAGGCACGACTTCCTACGCCCTAGTAAGGTGAAGGGGAAGTGAGCAGACACATGGTCAGATAAGAACGCGTGTATCCGTCCGGTGAACGTTTTCCCTATATGATATTCCCTATATGTTATCTCATTAAAAGCTACTCCGCATACAACTCCGGCTTTTGTTACATTGGTATCGCATAGGCTAGCCTCGAACAGTTTTAGCCAGCGTGAAAGTTCATTGTTGTTCTCCATTAAAAACCACCCTGGCTTTCTTACCTAGCGCTGGCAGGAGGATACCATGCATTTTCGACATATGAAAGTTTGTTCGCGGTTTAAAGTTGCGCTTGTCCTTGCCTTTTTTCCCGTCCGTGTTTTCTACCCCGTAGTACCCTTAGATCACGTATCACCAACTGGCCCAATCGTCCTCCACCTTGTTTAACATTAAAAACCCACAATGTGACTCGCAGGCGGTCGCATCGACCACGGACACCACGAGAATCGGGCTGCGCTGGCGCTGCGCGAGACATCGGAGTTCAGCGATGCGGTGGCCGCTGCCCTGGAGCTGGTTGACGTGCGCGAAACCCTGGTGCTGGTCACCGCCGACCACTCGCACTCGTTCACCATGAACGGCTACCCTGCAAGAGGAAACCCTATACTGGGATTTGCCGGAATCTCCGAGAAGGACGGTCTTCCTTACACCACACTCTCTTACGCCAACGGGCCCTCGACGACGAAGAGGAAGGCTGACGTGAACACGGGTGAGTTTACGTTCTGTGCAATGCGAGGAACAAGGGAGTTTTACAGTAACGTTTGCAAGCGCTGAGGGCGTTGCGGGCTTAGCGGGCGTTATACGAGCTTTAGAATAGCATTAGCCCTCATGCAAACCGCAACACACGATCGCAGCGACACCGTAGCCTCGAAACCAGCGTTTGCGGGCCGCTTGCGGGCCGCTCACGCCATCCGCTATCTCGAATTGTCTGCGGGTGGGCAGCGAACACGAACAGCGGCTAGCGTTATGACGCATGCGCAGTGTCAGCGACTGCACCGCAAGGGCTTGTGGTGCGCTATTCTAAGACTCCCTACTATTGTTAGTGCCGCTGAAGAACAGGGCGTCAACAAATGCTTAGGGGGTGCCATAGGGTGCGCAGAGCTTTCCATTAGAGGAAGTCCTATGTCACTTCAGTGCCCCCCCCCTTGGTCAACATTTGGTCAATTTCGGGGAAAACAAACAAGTGAACTTCACCTTGGATACAAAAATGAAAAGGGACGACGTGCTTTCCACAAAGGCCAACCATTGGTTTCTTGATCTTCAAAGGTAAAGGCGGAAAGTAAGCAGTTCGAATGCAACAGCAGAGGTCCTCGGTGGCCATTAACATCACGCGTGTCCTTAACCCTGTGCATTAAAAACGACGTGAAATACCCCATTGAGTAAACGAGGAAAGGCGGTAGCCTTGGCGCCCCGCTTCGGATGATCAGGGGGAAGGGGGGCGTCTGTCTCCATTTCAACCCTTCCCTCCTTCTATTTTGCGCATGCTGTGTGCTGGGCACCTGGGTGTCTAGCGTGCTTCTCCAGCATAGCGTTCAAATTAGAAGCTCCTTCCGCATTGTGCCCTGAGTGCAATGAAGTTTGCGATATAGACCACTGCATCTGGTACTGCGAGCGCTTTTGTTTTGAAAGGGAGATGCTAATCGACAATATTAAGAAAAGGAGGTATTCTCGCCATTAGAGTGAGGAGTTTTGGAAGGTGCACGAATTATTCGAAAGATGGCGTCTGGTAAAATTTTACGTTATACGCCTGAGACTGGTGTAAGTGATGCATGACGAGACATACAGGTTGAAAAGAGTCACTAAGTTGTCGGCCAGGTCAACCAGGCTAACACTGCTTGGAGTAGCGTCAGCAGCAACATCATCCTCCGGCCTAACCAGCGTCAACAAAGAACAACCCGACATGCTCCTATCGCTACCCCTCGGAGATGGGCTAACACGACCGCATTTTTTCACAGATATCAAGAGTGTTTCTTAATAATGGTTCGTACGGCTTTTCCTTATAGCGCACTCATGCCAAGAGTTCCGAAGCAGCAGCTTCACCCGGTCATCAATCTTCCAGACAAACACACTCACACCTGTCATTTTTCGGCAAAATAGCAAACTATCAAGCATCAAAGATATCTCTTCGTCATTTTTAACTAAAAGAAATGGTATATCATAGACATTCAGAAGAAGTTCTGTAAGATAACATCACAACAACGCCTTACAAAGTGAAATTTAGTACCTTCAATATGGTCTGTATCAAGATAGGGCAGATGCTATCCGTTGCAAGCAAGCGCGTTCCTATTCTTGACGCGTTTTCAGCAGTACCATTTCCCTTTTGCAAGTCGGTGCGTTGAGACGCCTGGTGAGTTCTCGTTACGCTGAATATTACCCCTTGCTCTCATCTCGTGCAGACGTCATCAAGATGTGGTGCCTATGCTGCCACTAGGGGCGCAGTTGATTACTGCCACATTTACTCCCACATACAGCTGCTCGACGCCGCTGTTGGCACATTCCCTGACGTTGCGTTGACGTTTCTGTCGTGTGGTGCCGTTATTTATTTAGCGACTAACTTGGAAGTGACCTACTGACATTCGTCGAAAAATAAAAGAGACCTGTCAAAAAAAGTGATGTATACGATCGAAGAAGCCTCAAAGCTTTTGTGGTACCCCAATGATCGTTCGAGGAGGTCAAGTTATTTACTGCGGCATCTATTTTCAAGCAGTACGTCGTAATGATTGAAATAACATTGGCTGATTGATTGATCAATTGATTGATTGATTTGACCTCGCAGAGGCCGTGGACTACCAGCAGGTGAGCGCCGTCCCATTGCGGCTAGAGACGCACGCTGGTGAAGACGTGGCGCTGTACGCCATTGGCCCAATGGCGCACATGGTGCACGGAGTCTTGGAGCAGCACATCGTTGCCCATTTGGTCGACTACGCCGCGTGTCTCGGCGACGGCGCCCGGCTGAGATCACGGTGTCAGGAGCAGAGAGCTTTCTGCGGCTCCGACGGTGGCCGAATTCCTCGTTAGCGCGCATCGTCAGCGTGCTTGTGTCACTCTGCGGCGTCCTTGGTCATGCTGCGGTAGAGACGACGCCGTCAGCTGCGCACTCTACGTCGAACTTTTCGTACGAAGACAAGTACTGCAAGGATAGACGTTATTGAAACAGCGTTCATATCGGGGCTGGCCTCGAAGCCGTTTTAAGTAAGCTCGCCCAGCCTAAAAATCGCGAGCTTGCGCGTTAATGAAGGTTTGGTTTAGTTTAGGATCAATCTATCTTACACACACAACATGCAACGCTTCAGAAGCGATGCAAGATTAGCATTTCTCGTTTTTCAAAATGGGCGTCTTCGTGCGTTTTGTAGTTATAAATGATTGAACAATCCTTGAATGAGCCTCACTTAAGGCAGCTTGGTGAACTACAAATAGTAATAATAATAAAAACACTCAAGAGAACAGCAGCAATACGCATATTTCTTGAAATAAGGTAATAATTGTTATTTGCTGCTTTTTCACCTTTATGATACAGAATTTATGTTCTCATTTGTTGATAAATAGAGAAGAATTAGGAGTAATTATAGATAAACGTGCTGAACTATTTCTTGCTGTTAGAACAAACAAACCAACGTAGCTGATATATACTCTCAACGTTGTGCGCTCTAGGTGTGATACGGACTTCAAACAAACTGAAATGGTGGAAAGCAGGAAAGGCAGGTCTGGGTGAAATGGCCTCATGCCTGCTCATGCATGCATAACGAACAAAGGAAGAGGGGGGGGGGATATGTAAGGTTTCAATATATTCACAGAAAACATTTAGAGGACGGAGGGTGATTGAAATGTGATAAAGGTGAAATCTGCTTAGTCATCTGTTACTTTAAAGCAATTTATGTAATTATGTTCGATATTCAGCAGCTCGAATAGCGCCTGTCACAGATGAGATTTAAACAAACAATACACTGAGCAAACTTTCAAAGGCTGCGGTATCTCCTTTTCAAAGGCGGATGAATACGAACCAGCACCAATCGGGGCTCACTCAAGTCTGAGGTCGTAGGCGGGACGGCTGGTACGCTGCCAAGCGGTATACAGTCATGTAGGCAATCGGTGGTCATGCTTCAATTATCCGAGCGTAGGCTCTGCTGCTTTTTTTCAGCTGCAGCCGTCTTTTGTGTCAAACACATCTAGCTGTCTCTTTAGCTCCCATGAGACGCTTGCTACGAACAGTATTCGACTCTTCTTCATAGTATTCACTGATAGGACCCTGCTTTTGAATGTCGTTTTTCGCTACGATATGCCATCCCGTTTACTTAAAAAATAAAAAGAAAGCAAGAAAAAACAGAATGTTCACTTCTAGTGCCCCATTGAAAAAAAAAATGTCGCTGATAAACTTGACTGCGATGTGCTACGTTTGTTTGTTGAAAAAGTCAGTCACTTTATTACTGCGTTCTAGGCGAGAATGGCACGAATGGATATTGTGATCATGCATTAGTTCGTAAGCCCGTATTAGAAATTGGGGCGCTGCGCCGCTAAGCACGGTGTATGGCGTGAATTGGTTTGGCACTATAAAGGTCACATTTCATTGTAGAATTTTTTTAGGTGTGGTCCTGCGTACAATATTGTCAGATGTTGACAGCAAAGAGGAGCACTGTCAACCAAGCTTTATTTGGCGTCGCTTGCACATATAAAGCCAAAAACAACTTGTTACCGACAACATCACCACGTAATAAAACAAGATAAAATCAGATAAAATCGCCTACTAGGATAATCGTCGAGATAGCCTATTTCAGAAAAAATGCGTCAAGAAACGGCTTACTGATGCATCTGCTTCCCAACTTGTTGATGACATACGCGTCAAATATTTCCCGCTCTTGTTTCATTCTAAATCTTTTTAGAACTCGCGTCTTGTCAAGGTCAAGTGCACAGTGGGCTGACGCGCACGGCTTGCTGCAATGAATAGCCCATATAAAATATATGGAGAGCCTATATAAAATATAGGCTCTCCTTTATATTTGATTCTATATAAAAGGATACAGAATGAAACAAGAGCGGAAATATTTTATGATTAACATGTGGTAGGTGGTTTTACCAGCTGTTATTCTCTTTTATTATGTGTCGGTGTTGTCGGCAACACGTAGTTCCTTGGCCTTATATGTGCAAGCAACGCAAGATAAAGGTTAGTTGCGAGTGTGCCTCCTTCCTGTCAACATCTTTCTTACAATTTTGTACGCGGTGCTACATTCCTAAAATTCTGCAATGAAATACCAACTATAGCCTGCATAGACACCCTTGTCACATTTCAATTAGTGTGGCCAGCCGACCACCCTTTTGCACCAGTGAGAGCGCTAGTTCTCTCTTCCACCGCCGCAGCGCCAAAAACGGTAAAGGAAAATTGCTCGTAAAGGGAGCCAGCCTGCTGCGCGCATTCGTTTTCGTGGTCATTGCCTCGCCCTGACTTGTGATTGCACGTTGGCTCTTTATGTGCGAGACACGCCAGATGACATGTCTGTATTGTACTCTGTGCCGTTGTTGCTACTATACGCGAGCACGCTACGCTCCCGTTAACCAGACTTAAGTAAGTATGGCACAGCGTCGTTACCAGGGATGCATGGGCGAATGCAGAACTTCATTCAACAATCTTAGTTTTTTATTCTTCTGCTTGCAACTAAAGTTATCCTCTCCTACTTATGAGACTTTTGAATGCTATATTTTTGTTTTTGCTTTCTCTGTAGAAGCCATCCTCTTTTAATTTGGGGGGAGGGGGGTGTATGTGTTAAAGGTAAGTGATTACCTTCTGTTTAAGCAAGTGTGACATAGAATACCTGCCACGAACACACTTGCAAAACCCAGTGTATTGCATCTTAACATTGCACAAATAAGTGTCAGTTTTAAATGATGCGAGATTCAAGCATGAGTCGTCATCGTTGAACTATACTTGCCTGTGGTTCGCGGGTCACATTGCCTTCATGATTAACTCAGGGGATGACCTACAGCTCATGATTACTGAACTGGACACGAGAAGCAGATGAGCAGGTTTGAAAATTAATATGCGCAAAACTGAAGTGCAGCATGACAGAGCAGCAGCGCTTTGTGAGAGGTTGTGGAACACTGCAAGTTGTAAAGGAGTGACATTAGAACAGATTGTAAGCGGGGAACCGAAATATGACAGTGAATAACTATAAAAGAATAAGGGTGAACCACATTCGATAGATATTCTCAAATCGTGGGTGGTAGTGCACCCCTAGCCTTCAAGAGGAATTTATATAGCGGCTTCATTGTAGCGGTACCTTACTTACGAAGCAAAAACCTGGAGGCTTACAAAGAGGGTTTAGCTTAAATAATGATGATGCAGCGAGCAATGAAAAGGAAAATTACACCTGTAACCATTAGTACCAGAAGAGAGCAGATTACCAGGGAACAAACAGGGGGTAAGGACATATCGTGGTTTTGGGACGTAAAACCCCAAATGTTAAATTACTGACAGCGACACTCAAATAATTAGCCACCAAATGCGCGCGATCCGCAGGTTTGATTGAAACAAAAATCAATGCGTCACCACATTTACTCAGCATGTCATCACTACTTTATGTTTTATTAGTGCACCTCTGCATGCATGGGCTTGTCGATGCACCTGCAAATTTTTTCAGCAGCGTATGGTTTGTAGAGTTCCTCAATACTTTCACAAATTTCAACGAGCACAACTACAAAAGAAAACAAAGAGAAAAATGCTTTACTAGTTAGTTCTGACTATCGACGACGTTAGCTACACGACAATGTTCGAAAGTACGATATGTAGAAAAGCAGGGGGGAAATAAAGGGGGCGGAAATGTTGGCGCTAATTTGCCTTCAGAACGATAACTATGGCACCAGTGGCAACGCTGCGATAAAACAATACTTGATATAACTGCATAAGGCATTCATTTTGTGATAGTTTTTCTTACCCAAGATCTCAGCTAATGTACTCTATCATTGACTTGTCAGAAAGAACGACAATAAGGATAGTTGGCACGAAAACAGTGAAAAAACACCAACAAAATTTAAAGCTAAATAATGAGTACGCAGTCAATCACTCTCGCAATTGGGAGTACTAGTACAGGCCTTGTTTTTTTTTTGGTGTATATAATGTTATGCCAGCGAGTCCTCGTCAAACGTCCGTGCCTCTGAAAAAGGCAATCTGGGTCAAGGCCAGCCCGCAGTCCGCCTGGCGCGATCAACTCGACGGCGTGAACACGCGCGGCGCCTCTCTGGCCCACGTGCATTGAGTCAGCTGCGCACGTGACAGCGAGCCGGCGTCCTCGTGTCTGGTGGTCTGACGCATGGCGCGGCAACCCCATTGGAGGAGTCTGCCCTGAAGACCAGCGGCGCTTCTGATTGGACATTTTGGTTGGACCCGGTGCAAATAAAAGAAGCCCTGCGGCGTGTCGCGATCGGCGGTCCTATGAGAGAGGAGTCCCCATGTCGGAGAGCCGACATGTGTGTGAGTCGGCGGTCTTAGGCGAAAAGCTGACCTATGTGTTAGAGAGGAGAGCTCGGCTCTTCGAGTCTCTGTCGGCCCCAGTGCCGAAATTGTAACGCCTCTGTATATATGCTGTACATAAACCTTGTTTAACTCACCGTCGTCTCGTCCGCTCGTCTTATCAGCTCTGCGCAGAAGCAGTCGCGAGCTGATAAATATACGCAAAACTGAAGTGCAGCATGACAGAGAGCAGCGCTTTGTGAGAGGTTGTTGAACACTGCAAGTTTTAAAGGAGTGACGTTAGAACAGATTGTAACCGGGGAGCCGAACTATGACAGTGAAATAACTATAAAAGAATAAGGGTGAACCACATTCGATAGATAATCTCAAATCGTGGGTGGTAGTGCACCCCTAGCCTTCAAGAGGAATGTATACACCGGCTCCATTGTAGCGGTACTTACTTACGAAGCAAAAACCTGGAGGCGTACAAAGAGGGTTTAGCTTAAATAATATGATGCAGTGAGCAATGAAAAGAAAAATTACACCTGTAACCATAAGTACCAAGAAGAGAGCAGATTAC